CACTGACGATGCCGACTACGATGCCGACGAAACGTCTGGGAATGTACCACGTCCACGGTCCAACTTTGGAAATAAATATGCTTACAATGGACTCTGGACAAGGTGCATTCCTCTAAGTCTTCCTATCAATATGACCAAGTTGCGAAAACAAGGTCAGACAACTTCTATACAATGAGAGGAGACTGCGACCACACAAAAGGTCACACTATCTTGGTCTTCATACCTTCGAGTATTGAACTTATAATTTGATACCTCTGTTCCTAAAAATAAGCACTTTTATTTTAATTAATCTTCTATTAAAAGTAATTTGTAGTTAGTATGGACCTATTTTCTCATTTATTTTCCATATTATTTTTTCCTGTGAAGTGCCGTTATTTATTCTTATATTATTCATTCGTTTATTACGTAGAACATATAGTATATGGCATTTTAATGGAAGATTCCTGGTTCCATCTCGAGCGGAATATTATCAGGTTTATTAGCTATGAGACTACTTATGAATTATTTAATTAGATGCAATATTCTCTTCTTTTTGTGGGATAAAACTGTACATGTTCAAGCAATGATGTTCAGGAAGCGGCTAACTCCAACTTTTGCCACTATCTTTTTATTCGATTAATGATCCAAGCAATCACTGGAGAAAGTGTTGTTTTTCCGGAGACGGCGAATTCGTATGTGCCGGCTCCATGAAACAACATTCTATCTACCTTTGGGAACGAGCTACTGGTACACTTGTCAAAATCCTGCATGGCCAAAAAGGTGAGACTCTGCTTGACGTTGTTTGGCACCCATTGCGCCCGATTATTGTGTCACTCTCCAATTCGGTCACCAAAGAGCAGGTCTCTATATGGGCCCAGACACAAGTGGTAAGTCCACAATAAATCTTATGGATCCATGCGCTGTTTTTACTTTAAGATTTTTTATATGTGTCTGGTAATTGTTATCTAAACCTAAAGATCTATACTTTTAGTTATGACTCCTACCCCATTTATTTTTCATATTGTATTATTTGATCGGACAAAACTTTAGTAACTCTTTGTATCGATATTAATTCCTTAATAATCATATGCTTTTCATGAAAATCTTGGTTTGGTTAGGCATCATTCTTCAATCATTGACTTGGATCAACGATACGATGGCCATCTAAACATTCACGCTCCAAAATTTTAAAAATGATTTATACTGGCATACCCTTCATTTCGTCTGAGAAAGTGGGTGGAAGGGATTTGTAGATTGGCCTCACCGGATACCAAAGGAAGGTTGCCTTGGACTTTTGTCTGTTGAATTGTGCGTAGGAGACCTCGGCTTACCGATGACTCCGGAGTCATCGGGATCGTAGGACGGTAAGCCGAGGTCTTCTGCGCACAATTCAACAGACAAAAGTACAAGGCGACTTTCCTTTGGTGTCCGGTGGGGCCAATCTACGAATCCCTTCCACCCACTTTCTTAGACTAAATGAAAGGTATGCCAGTATCAATCTACTAAGGGATCCTTTGGAACCCAGCTTAGCATCCACAGTTGCCAAATTTTATTAAAAGGGTTCATTCTAATACGAAACTAGCCTTATTTAGTTTGCAACCATAAAATTATTCTTAAACAAATCCGTTTGCCTGTCTCACCCAAAGTGAAAATCTTATTAATTTGTTCCTTTATGCAGCAAAATTGGTCTGCTTTTGCTCCAGACTTTAAAGAATTGGATGAAAATGTGGAATACGAAGAACGCGAGTCTGAGTTTGACATTGAGGATGAAGATAAACAAGTTGAAGAGAAGAAAGGTTAGTCATATTTTTGAACACATTTTGTCTGGATCTATCTCTTGGATTTCCCTACTAAATTATGGGTCATTAGGGATGAATACGACTTGATATCCTTGTGAATGTTCATGATTAAATCACTCTTAGCGTTCTATTTTACACTTAGATATTGGTTTACTGGTTAACCACATGGAAATTTAAACCTTTGTACATGTTGGATCTACCAATTTTGAGCCATAATTGTTATGACCTTCTTTGACTTTCCTTTTCCTAAATGCATAATTATTGATACATTTTAATTTGATAGGTAATCTGGTTAAATAACTTTGGCCCATCGATTTGAAACAGCTTAGAAATGACTTTTGATATCTGATTTCTACGCAAAACGGCTTCTTAT